GCCATTGCAGTGCCCCCATGGTCACATGATCGCAATCTGGGCACTTGGCAACCCGTCTGCATTTATGACCAGTTGCCAAGCACCCCTTGATCACATGATTGCCATTTGCAACCTTCCCTGCCGGCTTCCCACAAGCAAAATCAATGGGGAAGCTGGCAGGGGAGGTCTCAAGTCGCTCAGGTAAGTCTCCCCCATCCACTCGGCACACACTCCTTACCCCTGTGGTCATTTGCACGCACCATGCCCCATTCACTTGCATGCTCACACTCACCACACCACACTCTCCTTCCCTTCCCTTGCTTGCATGCACCGGTGCCCTCTTTCCCACTTTGCTTGCTCGGATGCACCACACCCCTTCCACTTGCACTCACATGCACCAGTGCCCTCCTTCCCCCTTTGCTCACATGCATCAGCATCCTCCTTCCCCTTTGTGCTTGGACTTTGTTTCACCAGCCATCAAGTAAAGCTTTGTCCCCCTTCATTCATTCGCCCAGCTGCCTTCTTTCCCTACCTTTTGCCTTTTGTGCCCAGCCAACACAGGCAAAGCACAAGTGCCTTGCTGCCTTCTTTTCAGACCCATGGCTGCCATGCTACCCTGGGGGATCCAGCTGACCCAACCCCCGGCGCTTTCCCATTGGGCAAAACCACGTCCAGCCTTCCCCACTGGCTGGCATTCTGAGTGCTCCAACTCCTCTGGCAAATGCTCCCTGAGCCAACTTCCAGTGCTTTCCCATGGGGCACAAGTGCTTCCTGCCTTCCCCATTGGCTGACATTCTCATTTGCGCTGCTGGGCTGGGCTAGGGAGCTTTTGGCTTCTTCTGTTTTTGTTTTTTTTTTTTTGAGCACGAAGCAAAATCCCAGCCTGGCCCAACCCAGGAGCACAGCAGAAAGGGGGTTTTGGTATGCCACGCTCCAGGAGCTTTTGCAAAGGGGCTTTTTGGCACACTGCAGCTCTGGGGCTGCTTTTGGCTTTTTTTTTTCCTTGCAGCTGAAGCCTGGCCCAGCCCAGCCCAGCAGCCAGGCTGGGCATGCCTCATCAGCAGTGGGAGCAAGAAGATGGCAAAGGTCAGCTAGGGTGGCAGAGTGCAGAGTGTCAGGGATCTCAGAGTGCAGGGTGGTGATGGCAACTGCAGCTGGGACTAGGCTGGAGTGGCTGTGGCTTCCTGGGGCATGGCAAGCACTTAGGACCACAATTGGGACTGGAATTTCCATTGCTAAGCTGCACAATCACGTCTTACTTTACAACTGCATCGCTTAGTGATGGAAATTCCAGTCCCAATTGTGGTCATAAGTCGAGGACTGTGTGTGTGTGTGTGTGTGTGTGTG